CTATTGTCATAATAAACTCAAATGTCAACAGCAGTAATGGAAAAACCAATAATTAAAAATTATCAGAGCTGACAGAATTAATGCAGGGAGCAAGTGGAGGTCAGAAACACACTCGTCTTACACTCCAAAAACCTCAGTTTAAAAACTGGCTAAGTGATTTGCATTCTGGTGAGGAAATAGAAATGGGAAATTATAGTAAAGGTTGAAACTGTAAATAACTGGGTACAAAATAATAACTGTACATATCTTTGAAGAATAATTTTCTTTCTCTTTACATATTTAGTTTCTTTTTTCAACACGTTTCCTTTTCACTTTAAATTTTTGGGATTTAATTAAAGACTTCTGTTATTCTAAAAGCCTAAATGCATTTAGAATGTATGGAAAAAGCTGCTAATTTTATTTTAGTAATACGAACATTCAGAAGAAATATGAAATACATATGGTAAAGTCTGGTCACAGAGCTGGTGTGGCATTATTTTTAGAATTTAGGGACACACTGAGCAACAAAATCTAAAAATGGCAAAACTTTTAGAATTTAGAGCAGGCATTCTAAGCCAAATTTAGAAAGGCACCAAGCAGCAGAATTTAGGATCCACAGAGACTGCGTCAGGTGGCAAAATGCCTAGCGCCAGCTCTGTGTATGATGCATTAAGACAGATTAGATGAATCTTTTGAATTGCCAGTTTTCAATTTCTTTATTAATAAAAAATTCCTTTCTATAATGCCTGTCCATATGATAAGATTAGAAGTACTTTTGATATTTTCCATGCTTGTATCTAGTGAAAAGTAGAGAAAATAAAGGGAAGATAAAAATGTTAAGAAAGCGATTCTAGAATCAGAAGTAAAACATTCAACTATTATGTTTTCATTGTTCTTCCAGATGTTCTCCAAAATGTAAGAAACTGCATGTTACTACCATGGAGACTTTTCATTTCATCACTTTTTTCTGGAATCTTTTAGAATCGTGGGTCTATAAATTTACCTTAAAATCTTTTTAAACTTTCCAAGCTTCAATGTCTAAAATCCTAAAGAAAAATTACTCATACCAATTCTGTAACAGCAAAAAGCCAGAAATGGTTTTTAAAATAATTGGAGGAAAAAAGTGTGAAATTAATTTTATAGAGAAAACTGGTGCATTTTTTGAGAATTCTGATCATTCTGAGAAATGGGAAAAATTCTTACCATGAAAAAATTAAAAAGACATTTTTAATTAATTACATAGCTATTTTGCTTTTGCTAAAAACTGTTTTGTAAACTGTGCTTTATAGCATTATTCCTTGCTTATTTTTCAGATTCAAAAAACTGTATAATATGTGGCCAAAATGGAACTTTATAATATGACAAAGAAAAAGAAAAATGCTTTATTTTAATCTTATTTCTTAAATATAATTCCAATATATTGCCATTATTTTAATGAAATTTAACAATGTTAGAATGTTCTAAAAAAATCGTCAAAAAATTCCCAGATCTTGGAATTAAAAATTTTCTATAGAAACCGATCTTAAATCGGTTTTATTCGATCGAATTTAAGTCGTCAAATTTAGAACCATTTAAAAAAAATTCACATCTCCAAAAGCAGAAAGCTGTTTGAAAGCTCTTCATTACAAAAAAATGAAATAATTTTGAAATGCTTATGTTTCACCTCTTGCTCAGAAACTCGAGTAACCCACCATTATTTATATTACAAATAGGAACAAATTATAACTCATGAACCCATTCAAAAAATAGCCATATTTGTCAGTGAATCGCCAAAAATATTCCTGCAAAATGCTAATTCACACCCAAAATGGCAGTCGTAAAAACAGACAGAAATTTCAGATGATTAAAATTAAGGATTTTCTGCCGATTTTGACCAAAATTAAGGACTTTTAAGGACCAAAAATTGATTACGAAAAACTTAAGGACTCTCAAAGACCATACGAACCCTGTAAAAACTAATTTGAAAATATGCTAAAACCTTGACCAAACACTTTTGGTAAAACAGTCAATAATAACTCAAAATATGTTAGATTCCATTAGATCCAGATTAATTTTTCAAATTATCTAGTGGTATTTAGAAACTAATCTAACTTTTATCACTCTTTTTTAATGTATAGAGTTAACATTTTTGCAAATCAGCATTACATTATGGGATGAAAGATTTTATTGGTAAGACAGGAATCAATTTTAAGATCAGTTATACAATCAATTGCCAATCCAATAGGAATACTTGATACTTGCTTATGAAATGCAGAAACTAAGTTACATATGTAAGTAGGGCTACTAGGTGCATTTATTTCCAGTCTGATCTTTTTCCATTGTTCTGAAAATAACTATTTTATCACCAACTATCCATTTATAATTCATATCAAACATTGAAATAATTTTCAAACTTTTATTTTATACAATTATTAAACATTTATTTTATGAAATTTATCAAACATGCAAATGTTCTAGAAATTATATAGCTGCATATAACTCAAGATACTATTTATTCCATAACCTTAGATCTTTCGCAACATGGCGATTTTTGAAAAAAATCTAACCAGTTTGCAGAAATGTGAAAAGAAACCAATATTAATTAAAGTAAAAAACTAAATGACACAGAAATATTGATAATTATTCTGAATACAAAAATATTCAGAAAATGCTGAAATCTACAATTTTAAAATTTGATTCCTAAAGAGCATTGCTACAAATTTTGTACTTAGATAGATAATTTCAGTAGAATTATAAGTAATATTATTGTATTTTTCTGTGTACTGTAACGCAAAACAAATTTTAAGGGAAAGCTATGCCGAAAAAGTAAGAATACACGGGCAAATGCATTTAACATTGAGTAAATGAGTATCTCGATAACTTGGCAAGAAATCACCAAAAGTCACCAAAGTTGAACACATTTTGGTCAGGTCCCTGTATCACCATAATATGTATTGAAATTGAATAAATGTAATTGACCACTTTGTTGTAACCATAATTCCACCCTCATGTTGCTTTCCAGTAACTTCGAGAAGCAGAAAGTACTAGAAATATCTTGGTGGCCGGTTAAAATCTATAAAAGGCCAGAAAGAGAGCATCAGAATTCAGCTGCTTAGTTACTGTTGTTGCGAGTTGTAGTTCTATGTGAACTGAGACAAATCCAAGTTAGCTTTCTCTTTACATGTGCTTTGCATTGCATTATGTTTAACATTTTTAGTAGTTTGAAGTATAATTACTGACTATACAGCGTGATACTGTAAACACTTGTACAAATATTTCTGTGGACAACTCCAGAGTTCTGAAATATTTTTTATAAAAATTAATTTTTATTAACCTATTATTGGACTTGTGAATTCTATCTATTACAAACCTGTATGCAGGCAACAGTATAATCATGGCAAAGAATGGAATGGCTTTATTTCAAAATAGAAAGGTATACGTTGTAAAATGATGCAAGGTGAATTAACTTGAACTCATATCACACATGATGAAAAATTATGAAACCATTCAAGTAATCAGCCTACTCCATTAGGTTGTGAAACTCATAATCAAGTGTTTTATTGAGTGTAACAATGATTTAAAACACGAGGAAAATATGTTAGTAAAAGCGACAAAATTATGGAGCCTGTTTTTAAAAGTACAAAACCCATTAAAAATGTGAAAGAGATTTCAACAGTTATACAAATTAAATATTATAATGAAAAGAAATAGGAAGGGTAAAAAGCAATTGTTTCAAGTCTGATCCCCCTTCCACTATTCTCAAAATAATTATTTTGTCACTAGCTATCCATTTATAATTCATATTAAACATTTATTTATTATTTTAAATATAAGTATTATAATAGAAGATGAACCGATTTGAATATTAAAAAAAAAGGAAAGAAAGAAGAAGTGGCTAATTATATACTTTTTTCTAAATTTTCATGAATAAAAGTTAATAAAAACTAATTCTAAATTCACACAAAATGTTCTTCATGTTAGTCGTTCTCAGAAACTGAGTTTACTGAGAATTATTACAAATACAGGTTTCTACCCTTTTGTTATTAATAAAGCTTTGGAAAAATTTAAAAAGTTCTTTTTATCATTGACAATACATTTTTACTAAACAAAGCCATAATAATCATATTTTCATCCCATTTTATCTTTCATAATTAAAAAAATAGTCTAGATTCATACAAGTTCAACTTTCAGATTGCTTTATTTTCCATTAATAAAATGCATACCTCAGTCTTCATTAAAGATCCTGCATGCACTAATGTACACTAATCTAACAGATGAATGGCACTAACTATGTTCTATTGTGAATCTAAATGCCACATCTAAATTTCTATAAGTGGTGGTTCATTTATGATTCTATGATCAAAATAATCTAGTTTTAAAAAAATTTATTAAAATACTAAATTAATTAATCTAATCTAAATCTAGTCTAATTTTTACATCTCGTCAGCAGCATTCAAGCTGCAGCAAACAAATCGAAAAGTCAAGTTCTCACTGTTGCCATTCCGAGGCAGAGAAAAGTTTCTAATCAAACCGGAACAGATCCAATAACAGATTTGAAAATTCTTCAGGAATTTTTAACACTATATTATTTAAGATACATTAATCAAAGAAGTTTGAGTTTCTCAACAAGGTATACTATTCAGGCTAGAGAAAAAATTGCAAATCATTTACTACTAATTACCATTGTTATCTCAGCCAATTTTATACATTTTTCCCATTCAGTAGGTAAAAATATTAACTAGGTAAATTAGATGTCAAAACGTCAACCAAAGTCTATTAATTTTAAGTTACAATTTCAAATTTGAACCCATCCATGCTTATAATATAATCCTTGTGTCACATTTGTTTCATCCTTTTCCCTTTTTTTAGCTCAATATAAGATTATATATATATACATAGTTTGATGACTGAAAATTTTGCTTTTTCAAAAAAGAGACATCTGTTAGACTTTCTTGATATGCATAAAGTACATGTAATGACAATTTAATGATGAACTTGAACTAACTTTAAAATGTATAATATTACAAAAGGGGTATATTTACTTTCCACAGAGTGGTATAGCAGCAAGTGGAGCTGAAGTAATAATGCAAAGAAGGCGCCAATCACGTAATGCAAAGGCAATCCAAGGACAAATAGCAGAAAATACAATATACCCCATGGACCAAATAATAATCACAAAGGTTCGTTTTTTCACACCTATATATTCAAGACCTAATAAAAAATTATATCCATGTGAAATTAGATTAGATATATACATATAAGACATTACATAATTACATTGTTAAATGAAATTATTTCAATGATCATGATATTTTAAAAATTAACGTGAGGTAGCATTTTACAAAATATACTTTTATCTTGATGACACAAAATGAGTTACAATACTTAGAAATCATCAGTTTAGCTGCATATTATGAGCAGACTCAACAGTATGAATAAAAAATCTAAAGAATAAGAATTTATACCTTCATTTTACTTTAAAATCAAAAATCCAGCTTAAAATATAAAGGAAAGAAATTAATAAATGTTACAAAATAATGTCATAAAAATGCATTAAAAAAGATTGTTAAAACTGAAGATAAGAAGGAACATAATAATAAAATTATACATACTTTATCAAAAGGCTTCAATTATTTCATCCCCAATATTATGGAATATTTTTATTTTTCATCATTTAAAAATGCACAAAAGCTTGGCCTGTTTTAAATTTAATAATAATTTCTCAGCTTTACAGCATAAGTTATATAAGTTCTGTGTGATCATAATCCTGTTTCAGACTAAGAATATTGCACAAATACCTTTATTTTGCATTAAATAGCTGAAGTATTTTTATTTCTCAAATTTAATGTGTAATTGCATCAATAAATATAATATGCAAAACTCCCAAAAGCAAAATTTTTACAAATTCAAAAACAATTAATGAGAAAAGGAAAGCATTAATAAATACCTAAGAATAATGAATAATATTTATTAAATATTTTTAGTATTTCTCATTTCCTAAATGCTAACTTATTTCATTCATTAAACCCAATGAAGTTAATCTAAAACTAATTCTTATAATCTAAATTTTTACACCAGTTGTACAGATTTTAGGTATCCAAAAAATATTTTTAATTAAATTTAATAATTTAACATGTAAAATATACATGGTAGAAAAAATACTATGCATAGAAAAAAGATTAAAAAGTTACAAGTAGATTCTGTAAAAATATAAGGTATCATAGTCATATGAAAAAGAAAAGTAACAATTTCTTTCATTCATAATAATTACAATGCTAAGAGGATTATGGCAAAAATATCACAAATTAAATTATTTACAAATAATACGAAAATGTACAAAATTAAGAGAATTTTAAAATTACATCTATTTTTACAAAAAGTATCAAACCAAAAGGTCTAATTATTCTGCCTAAAGGTTATGCAAGAATTAACCTTTAACTACTGTGAGCGGTCTCTCAGACTGCTTCCGCTAAAAACAAAATAAGATATTGTTTTACTTTTCTTATTTGAATAAATGTTATTTAATTTCACATATTTAACTTTTTCATGATGATATAAAGCAAATTTTATACTTAAATCAGTTCATTAGAATAAAATTTATACTATGATAACAATTCCTTCGCTTACGTATCTGGATGGAAGAAGTAAATTTTAAAATTCAACATTTTTATTTTACATTAAAATTTGTGATAAGAATGCTTTAATAAGAATATAGAAAATTAATTTTTATTTTAAAAATTATAATTCGAGCTACATTTTATACATACTTTTCTACTGCATTGTAGACACACTGGTTCTTTGCATTCTATACATTTGTAAGCTGTTTTTTTTTTTTTTTTTTTTTTTTTTTTTTTTTTTTTTTTTGACTCGGTGGACAAATATAGCACGTTCCTTTTTTATCTAATTTATTGTCTTCCATCGCAATGTTTCCTTCATCATGATTTATTCCGAAAACTCTTCTTATTGTAAGTTTGAGTTCTTTAGGTAAAAATGATGAAGTTATCCTCCGTTTTACATGAGACTGCACCAAATGAATTGCTAATGAAATCTTTTCGTTTCATCTTCGGAGCCAATGGATAAGATTGAAATAATATGAATGCATTTATTGCACATATATCCAAGTTTCTGAAGAATATTGCCGTAGGCCAACGTCGAGTTCTACGAGCAGTTGTATAGATTGAACGAAGAATAATATTGTGACTTCGAGTTCGAACACCCTTGTTGGACACTTGAATAGACTATTTGAATTCATTTTTTCCAATAAAAAAATCTCTTGCAGAAGCAGAACATGGATTTTCATTTTCATCGGCATATATTTCTGAATTTGTGTCGTGGTCGCTCTCAATAATTTCATCATGGGAACTTTCATCAGAGAACTCTAAATTAGACCAATTTCAAACTATTTATTAAAATTGGTCTTGGGTAAGATATATAGAATGTTTCCTGCATGCATTTGAAGCAATTCCAAGAATATTTATAAAAAGTGAAATATGTAATAACAACGAAAAGTGAACTTTATCGGCCGAAATTTGAATCGTATCTGCTGTGATCGGTCCCACAGACCGCTGCGTGGGGGAACTTTTAAAAAAGTAAAAGAAGAAATAGAGCTAGCTAAATGCAACTTGGCATGTGACCTTGGACAACTGTTTTAGGAAGGTACTAAAAATGGCAATACCCATTAATTATTCTAAGAGGTGGAAGCATTTAATGGAAAATGTTGCGCGGTCTGACAGACCGCTCACAGCAGTTAAAGGTTAAACAAATATTCAAAGTTGAATATGTTAACATACATATGCATGTCTGTGCAGCTGTGATTGTAGAGGGTATATAAAAAATGAGGGTTTTTTGGCAATTTGTGTGCTCTTACTCCTTCATGACATTCATCATGTTTTTCACAAGAGGTAGGAAAATTTTAGGTACTCTTCCAGTATCAGGACCAGATTCAGAAATGTATGTTTGTATGCACATGTCTATGTAGGTATATGTGTATATATACACACACACACACATATTTATACATATATAGTACATGCATATTCATCATGTTTTTCACAAGAGGTAGGAAAATTTTAGGTACTCTTCCAGTATCAGGACCAGATTCAGAAATGTATGTTTGTATGCACATGTCTATGTAGGTATATGTGTATATATACACACACACACACATATTTATACATATATAGTACATGCATACATGAACACATACATACATACAATTCTGAAGCCGGGTCTAATCATTGAAGAGTATATAACTTTAGAAGGTAATATGCAAAATGAGAAGCCATAAACATCTGGATGACAGAAAGACTCGGAGAACTATTAACACTTTAGTAACAGGCCAATCTCAAGCACAGGTAGCTACAGAGCTCAATGTACTACCCAGTGACGTCTGCAGTTAGTGGAAACAGTTTCAGAATGCTGAATCTATATTGAGAAGACCTGAAAAAGGTTAACCAAGATTCCCAATGATGAATGAGAATTGTTATTTGGAACTTTCAGCACAGCAACCAGGGCTGTGGAGTCGGAGTCGGAATAGGAGTCAGGTAGATTTTTGGGTAAAAGGAGTCAGAGTTGGAGTCGCTAAAAGACACGTTAACTCCGACTCCAGGTTTTATTGAACAGTTTGAATGTGAAATGAAATTGAATTTGAAAAAAAAAATTAATGATACATATTTATGAACTATATACATTAATAAATAGTTATTTTCTATTTTATTGACATAGTAGTAAATAAAAATAAGGGAGCAAGATGGACGTGATATTTGCCATTATTAATTAAACTGATTCATTTACTTACTATCTCATTGGTGAATTGAGGTAAGCAGCGAGAACTCCCAAAATTGATGCCATTCTTAGGAAGTGAGCAGGAAAAGGAGCAATGCAATGGAGAAGTACATATTTGATGATATAGTGGTTGTTAGGATTAAGAACTTTTTCAGAAGATGTAAATAACTCTAATATTTCACTAACAGAAAACCTGTGAAATGACCTTGCAGGACTGGAAACCCTTCTTTACACACCATATATAGCCATAAAAAAAGCTACAATCTGAAGAATTAACAGGAGACAAGAATGTTAGAAGATGTAGATAACCCTAATGTTTCGCTAACAGAAAGACTGTGGAATGATCTTTCAGGATTGGAAACTCTTCTTTTTATACCGTATATAGCCACCAAAAAGCTACAATCTGAAGAATTAACAAGAGGCAAGAGTGAAAGAATATGATATTTGTTCTTTCTGAAATGGAGGGTTTATTGCAGAAGGAATCATTTCTTCAGTGAAGAAAAGAGAAACTAGTTTGCTAGACAATATGATCATGCTGGGTTCAATATATGTAGATCCAAATCACCGAATTTTGCTGGATGACAAACAAATTGAAAAGGCAAAGAAAGCCATCTATGAACTTTTATTAAGAATGAAATTATTATCAGAACAACTGGAGTATTCAAATCAGGACAGTCAAACTGCAGATATTGTAACAGAGTCTTTATCATCGTCTTCCACTGATGAATTAGATTTTGAAAAATATTTGGATAATATTGAAAAGGCTAACACAAAATGAATGAAAATAAATAACCAAGAGCCTTTAGCTATAAAAATGAAAAAATACAAACAAGATTTATACACAGCCTTTGAAGAAATAGATAAATGTGATTGCTCTTGCAAGACACCTCTTTTAGAACTAAAAATCTATCCTGAAAAGTTAAAGGAAGTAGCCCTAACAGTAACAGCTCTTCTTCCTACTCAAGTCAGTGTGGAAAGATTCTTTTCAGATCTGAAGTTTATCAAATCAGATCTATGGTCCTCTAACAAAGAGGAATTTTGAAAAATATTTGGATAATATTGAAAAGGCTAACGCAAAGCAAATGAAATAAATAACGAAGAGCCTTTAGATATAAAAATGAAAAAAAAAAATACAAACAAGATTTATACACAGCCTTTGAAGAAATAGATAAATGTGATTGCTCTCGCAAGACACCTCTTTTAGAACTTCTAAAAATCTATCCTGAAAAGTTAAAGGAAGTAGACCTAACAGTAGCAGCTCTTCTTCCTACTCAAGTCAGTGTGGAAAGATTCTTTTCAGATCTGAAGTTTATCAAATCAGATCTATAGTCCTCTAACAAAAAGGATCTTGCTGAAGTTTTACTGTTTCTTAGAAATTACTAATGCCAGTTTTTCCATTTCATAATAAATGCTAATTAATATAAAAC